TACCCTTTTTTCAGTTTGGCGTAAAAATTATCATTTCGCGCATTGGCTACTTTCTGGGCAACATATTATTTATAAATATATTAGTCGAATAAAAATGCACTTTAAAATGGTGTTTCGTTGTTTTTTATTAATTAGAGACCCAAATGAAACAAATATTTGTGTTTTTCAAATAAATTTTTACTAAGAATTAAATAAATTCATTTATTATAAAGGAATTATAATAAATGAATTTATTTATTTCTTAGTAAAAATTGAAAGTGACTGGAGAAGTAATTTTTTAAAATATCCTTGTTCGTGATAAAGTTTTAATATTTATTACTACAATCTAGACATGTTAATCCTTAAATATACTTGTATATTTAAATATACTTAATATACTTGTATATTTATACAAGTATATTATAAATATACTTGTATAAATTATACAGATTATACAAGTATATTATAAATATACTTGTATAATACAATATATTATATTTATTATTGTATACAATATATTTATAATATACTTGTATAATACAAGTATATTATAAATATACTTGTATAATCTTTCAAATCCTTAAATATACTTGTATATTTAAGGATTGAGTCACAAATATATTATATATACTTGTGGCCCAAAACTCCATGACTTCTTTTAATGTGGCCCAGAAGAACAAAAAGGTTGGACACCCCTGTTCTAAAGCTCATTTGCTTCTCAACAAATAATCTTTTCTTCAGCAGGTCCACAATACGACGTTTCTTCACAGTCGATAGCTTCCTCTTGATGCGTGTCAAATAGCAGCTCATTTGCTTATTTATACTCTGATATCTCGTTAATATAATAAATAGCCGCCCGGTATTGTAATAATGTCATAATACCGGGCGGCAGGCCGGATGGCCGAGCGGTCAAGGTGGCAGCCTACCGCTTCGACTGAAATAATTAAATCCTAAATATGCGGCCGGATGGCCGAGCGGTCAAGGTGGCAGCCTACCGCTCTGGGGAACCGGGATCGAATCCGGACAGGTCAAAGAATCCCTAGGAATTTTTCGGTTGGTTCGGATATGTCGGGCCCCGTCCCTCACCACCCGGTCGCCCCATTGTGGGCCTGACCGAACCCATAATGGGCCTGCTTTAAGAGGCCCTCTTAGTGCCCACGGGCGGAAAGAGTAAAAAAAATACCGGGCGGCAATTTTTATTCATATTTTTAATTTATTTAATTAAAAATATATGTTTTTTCGATTGTAGTAATGTCATGCTCATGTTCATCATAATATTTTCCCTGATAACATCAATTATACTGGTCAACTCCATTCTGGAAAAAATTTTAAATTAAAATCAATAATTTCCGGTCCGGACCGGACGTTCGTATATAGTTAATCGGGGCCTCCTGCACCTAAGCTTTCCATATCAGGGCTCGAATTCCATCTATCTAATGTCCGTTTTCTAGATTAAGGAAGGACAGAAAGGCGCCAATGTGAATTTATAGGTCTGCAATTTGAAAATTGCAGCCCAAAAATATTACCGTAGGAACAAGTTTATTAACGAGGGACTTTCTCAAGATATCATTACAAACTCATAAGATAAAATGTTCAAGGCCGTTACCATTAGAAATGGACATCATTTTAAATGTCCTTTGTTGCTTTGGCGTGTTTTGCATTGATTATCAGGCAAAGTTTACCCATGTTTCAAATAATAAAAATAGTCATAATAATTAAAATGTTTGATTACATCTTTGCATGAATAAGATATAATTTAATATTATATAAACATAATATTAAGGATAAATCTTAAAATTATAAATAGCGAAAGAATTATTTATCAGCCCTGTTTTAACCATAAAACAGAGACTTCTATAAGAAATTTGTAAAATATCCCAAAAATTCTCTTTAAAAAGATGCATTGCATAGTTAAATAAATATTTTACAACTTTGTTTATACTGTATATACTATATATTTATTCATTTCTAAATTAGTTTCATTTTCAATTCATTACAGAAGCTAGCTTAATAAGTTTTCATTCATTCCAAGAAATGAAGTCGATTAGTCAAGATTTAAAGAGTTTCAAAAGTGTTTGGATAGGATTGTCCCGTCGAAAAGATGGTAATTGCTCCCCTTTTTACTCCTTTACTCACAATATTCTTAATCTTTAAATTGTATTCGAATAGAAAAGGCGTTTAATGTATGATTAATGTATTTTTAGAGGGATATAAATGGCAGGACGAGAGTGTTCTAGATTTTGTTAGTTGGAAAAGTAAACCCATGGAGGAAGAAGGATGCGTTGAAATGAATTTACCCGATCAAACGTGGGAAAATTCCGATTGTAATGCAAAAAAACCATTTATATGTGGAGTGAAAACAAGTATGAGATTTAATTTAATAAAAATTAAATAAANAATAGACAATATGCAAAGCTTTTTTTTCAGTTTACAGCAGTATTTATTACACAAAATTTAAGTAAAGCTTAACATGCCGATCTTGCCCCGGTCTCCCCTATTTATTCATTTCTAAATTAGTTTCATTTTCAATTCATTACAGAAGCCAGCTTAATAAGTTTTCATTCATTCCAAGAAATGAAGTCGATTAGTCAAGATTTAAAGAGTTTCAAAAGTGTTTGGATAGGATTGTCCCGTCGAAAAGATGGTAATTGCTCCCCTTTTTACTCCTTTACTCACAATATTCTTAATCTTTAAATTGTATTCGAATAGAAAAGGCGTTTAATGTATGATTAATGTATTTTTAGAGGGATATAAATGGCAGGACGAGAGTGTTCTAGATTTTGTTAGTTGGAAAAGTAAACCCATGGAGGAAGAAGGATGCGTTGAAATGAATTTACCCGATCAAACGTGGGAAAATTCCGATTGTAATGCAAAAAAACCATTTATATGTGGAGTGAAAACAAGTATGAGATTTAATTTAATAAAAATTAAATAAATCAAAATCGCATTTCTTTTATAATTTTCATAATTTTTTTCTGTTTTAAATGTAGTTATCTCAACCGAGGAAAATAATGTTAATAGAAAGAGTGAGTGGTTTTTTATTCCTTCTCATTTTTTGTTTTTATAACTAAAAATACATATTACAAATTTAATGTTATACATTTACAGATACTTCTAATTCTGGTTTGTCTCCTGGAAGCATAGCGGCTATTTGTATAGGTGTAATAATTGTAGTTCTAATTATTATAAATTTTGTTTTATGGAGGAAAGGAGTGCTTAAAAAATTATACCAAAGATCGTAAATATCATTAACTTAATATGTGGGAAAAAAACGTGTTTCTAATTGTAATGTTTTAAAAATTAAATAAGAATCTTTTCTTTATATCTTACTTTTATTTTAGCTTAATTTGTGCCATTTTATATTGCATCTTTAGACATAAAAATACTGTATAACATAATTATTGTAATTCAAGAAATTAATTATATTAATGATATTAAGTCGTAAGCCTCCCACAGCTTCTACTATGGGAGGCTTAGAATCGAACCTGGGCGAGAAATCCCACTTTTTTGTGAGTAGTCTTTCTTGGATATGTGTGGTCCCGTTTCTCACCAGCCGGCCGCACCATTGTCGACCTGGACCAACCTACGATGGACTCGATAAAAAGTTTAAAATAGGTGTTTGGTAATTTAAAATACCTGTATTGTAATGTCTAAATGAAAAACAAATGCGCAAAGAAATCAACAGGCACGAAACGCTTTTATATTATACACAAAAGAAAAACGAAAAAAGCTTTAGTAAGAAATCCCCAAAAAATAATTCTCCGGAACGATCTTTCCCAACTCTTTAGTCGACGACAGTTCGAAGAACAAATCAATTATGACTCGACGGAAACCACTTTTGTATCGTGTTTATTTAAAAAGACCCAGTACAAACCTTATGGGAAATGAGTCCCTGTGGATTTGGCTGAATCTTTGATGTTTTGTAATTCTAATGGCCTTGATCAAAAGCCTCTATAGGAACAAAGTCAACAAAATGACAGTTTTCGAGTTGTAATTCACGCACTTGTGAAACCCTAAATCTTTTTTGTTTTAAAATATAAAATATGTTTTCTAACGTTATTGATGTTCGGATTGAAAATTTACATAGGAATATTTTTGAGATGATAAACCGTCCCACTAATTCATAATCTACCTTGCAGCTGAAACGTAGATTTATGAATTAGAAGAATTTAGACTTTAGAAATCAAACTAATTTGTCATAAAGAAAGCATTTTTCATCTCCGTCGTAGACGTTTAATCAGTATTCGTTTTCTTGAAAATGAGATCCTCAAATTTTCGTTTCACATTTTTTTAAGTGGACTTTTTAGAATTAAATCTTAAAAGTACCGTACGTGTTGTATGTTTATTGCATTTTAACCCCGTTCTATTCAAAACGAAATAATTAACCTAAGTTATTCATAGAATTGGCAGCAAGCCCGTAAAATGATAAGTTTGATTTCGACATCTCGTGAAGTAACCCCGAAAGTTACTTGATTACAGAAAATGCTTTGAAGGCAATTAAACTTAAATTTATGGCTTGGAAGAATAAGGGCCAATGTCAAAGGCCCATGATATTGGACCTTACTCTTCCAAGCCACAGAAATGTTCGCCTCCGTCACAAGCACGTTGTGACGAAGTTAAACTGAAATTTTGTTTTGTTGTTTCAGTTATAAAACAGAAACAATTGTTTTGGGGGTCAGTTGTCTTTCAAATCAAAGGAAAGAAAACCTATAACCATACATCACGATTTGTGGGATTTTAAGAAGAGAGCTAGAAGAAACAATAACAAAATAAAAGTTTAATGATTACGTGAACGGACAATTTACAATAATCAAGTTTTAATAACTGATTGGCTTCTCGATGCACATTGCATTGGCAATTTAGGTCCAGTACACAAGCGCAAAATGTTCCTAGATGTTACAGCAAAATTCCTGCGCATGATTCAGCATTTTAATAACAAATAAAGACAAAAAAAAAACAGCATTGTTTTTAATATTTTGCATAAAACAAAATTATATTTTAATTTGTAGACGATTCTTAACTAAAATAGGAGATCACTTTTCTTTAAGTTTTGTAATGTATTATGCAAATGACAACTTACAAAATAAAATCTATATCTTCGTCTATAATTTCCCGTTTAATCACATTAACTATCATTATATTTACACCCGTAGTAGGTGTTTTCCTCTGTCATAACTTAGCATCTGCTTAAAAAAAAAATTCTTTGAAAATCGTTTTCAGTACCAGAGAATTCGCGAAAATTTCCAAAATTTTTATTTTATTTACTTTATATCCGTAATTTCTTTTAAATAATAACTTTTATTTTTATTCTAGTCATAAAATAGTTGATACCAAATGAAAAACGCTGACCTGCACAGTAAAATAGACTGTACAGTACATTCAGTATCTAGGCTTTCATTTCTGGCAATGCTAATGATCATGCAACAGAGTAGCATTTATCACTTTAATCACCATACCAATTGGACGTCATAAGAGTATAGAAATATTAATTATAATGGCCAAAGAAGCTAAAGATCTGCCTGTTTCTATGGGAGATCTGAATTCAGATCCAAATCAGCGCTTCAGAAATTTTTCATGTTGCTCATGTTCGGATCCTGCTATCCTTTCTATTTGTATTTGTGTTTGAATGCTTTTGTAAACATGTACGCAATATCGTCGACCAGAATTCAGAAAAAGAAAACAATTACGTGGAAACGTAGTGTCGCGGACAAGACATAATTCTTGTTTAATCTCAAATTATAAAACATACGGTTGGTAGCTCCATATTACATTGGTACAACAAACAGACAAATGACATTATAATTTGTTGATAAACATTGAATTCGACCAGATTACCGAAGTAGTTAATGTGTCAGCTCACTCTCTGAGGATTCAGGATCGAATCCGAGTGAGCAACCTCCGGCATTTTTCGAGGATTGATTTGTCCTGAATATGTTGGGCCTCGTCCCTCATTACTCGACTTCCTCCGTTGTCGGCCAGGCCAAATCCACGATAATATGATCGAAAATAAAATAAGCATTGAATTTAACAAAAACAAATTGGTGAGGTATTACTTGTGTAATATGTAAGTGTGAAACTTTATATGATTATTGTTATAAAACTTTTATATGAATTTTTCACGGACAATTAGTCAGTCTTGTTGAGGATTAAGAAACGTGACTGCGTAATTGTGACGTTAATAACTTGGCTATAAAATAAATTTTGACGATTAAAATAACTATATTCGTTTAAAACGATTTTCCTACCTTGACAATGCAATGTGTTTCGCCTCGTTTACACACAACAGCATTACTTTCCGCCATTTTTCTAATGAAGAGAAACTTTTTTATTGTTTGATTAAATCTATCATGAATTTATAAAAAAACTCGAAGACACTAAAGTAACCAATCCCTTCTGCAGTGTGCCACAATGTAAGAGCAAACTTTGAATTTTTCGGAAGAAGATATAAAGAAGCAGGCTATTTAGTACCTAATTGGTTCCTGAAATGTGTATGAAAGTTAAAATGTAAAAAAGAACAATGTAAAAAAATCAAAAAGCGTTTTCAAAATATTTAGATTTTATTGATTAGTATCTGGTGTTTTCTTTATAAATTTGCTAAGAGATAATTGAATTGTACTCTTCTTTTTCTTTTCTTGATAAAGAGTTCTGTAACATGCTATGTCTTTTTCTATTTCCTTTCGTATATAAGATATACGCTCTCGATCATATGAAGGTTATGAGACCTTGATTTCTTTCTGTCCGTATCAACACTGATGTTTTTTCGTTTTTCACTCATGTTTATGAATTAATAAAAGCGAATATTTTCACCAAAACAGAAGTGTACATAAAGTGATAGCACACGTCCTAACATAAACTAATAAGACACAACTTATCAACACAAGCGCTAACTCGAAACGTCTCTGTTCAAGACAACCTGTGACACCGAAAATGGACGTGATTAATTAATTAATTAATGNAGGTTGGGAATCGCTGCTCTAGAGGATATTTTAAGCATGTTACTTATTTCTGCGTGACTTCTCCCCTCCTGACGATGACGAACTACGAGTAATCTAATAACTTTGTTAATAGCCTTAGGCATTTTGCATCGATTAATCCAACACTTCAGCAAACGCTTTATATTTTGTCGCTTCCCTCGACAATCGAAGTTAATTTCATAGTAACAGACATAAATAATATAGAGGAAAATCTGTCATTATGTCTGTTATCATGAAATTAACTTCGATTGTCGAGGGAAGCGACAAAATATAAAGCGTTTGCTGAAGTGTTGGATTAATCGATGAAAAATGCCTAAGGCAATCCATACATAGGCAATAAAGGCATACGCCTGCTTATTATCCGGCATCACGACGAGGAGAGAACTCGCCAAGAGATCGCAGACATGCTGAACATCTCAACGCGAGCGAGCCGTGTCAAGAATTTTGAAACTGTTCGTGGACACAGATTCCGCGTCTCCAGGCAAGCTAATGGGCCGACCACGTCGGATAACGCTCAGCTGAAAGCAAGTAGCGATGTGAGGCCGTTTGCAGCGGCGTCCACGCACAGAGGGGAGCTCAACCTGAACGTATCTACCGATACATTCAGGTATGTAACATTTGTAGTAAACTTCCTTATATATTTCTATCGATATAATGAACCGCCAGAAATACAACTTCATTAACGTGTCTTTGCATATATAGAAATGTAGAAAACANCATCGGATACGTTAAACTATTTTTTCGTACGTAAATCAGTTATCCGGACAACCCGTCCCCAACTGATTCGGAAAATCGACGCTCTACTGTAATTACATTTATTAACTCAAATTACAAACAACTCGTTAACAGAACATAGCAAATAATTACAATATTGACGACTCGTTAACAGAACAAAAACATTGAACAAACCCGTTAAGAAACAAAAACAAACATTGTTTTGTTAACAGTTCTTAACAAAAACAAAAAAAACTAAACAAAAACCGCAGATGGAGGGGAGAGTTTCAGAACCTCGACCACATTCCAACCCTGTCCATGACCTCATTCAGTCGCTCGGGCATACTTGCCATAAGACTTTGGCAAAGTATGCCCTCGCGAAGCTTCTCCCAACGAACTCTGATGATTTCCTAGAGTTTGTTGGGAGTTGCCGCCTGAATGGGATCGCGGCAGAGCTCAGCCCAAACGTGCTTAATGGGGTTGAGGTCTGCCCCTCTCCCTGGCCATCCCATGTCTGAGCTGTTGATGTTGCTGTAGCTAATCTCGCGTGACTTTGGACGTATGCATCGGGGAGCGGTCGTGGACGAAGTAGATCTGCTCTTTGCCATAGACGGC